TTGTTTTAATTTTGGATAAACTGGATTTATACTTTTTTTTTTTTCTTTTTTTTATACTGAAATTAGGTTTTCGGCTAAGATTCAATCACATCCTTATTTCAAATGCAATCCTACCTGCAATGAATCGTTGCAAATTTCTGTAAATGTTATAGCGATGAAAAAAAATTTAATGAGACCTAAAAAATCACAATAAGCTTTACACTTACTTGTGTGCAAATCAACTTTATGAAGGAGTGCATTTAAATGTTTACCGGAGTATATACAGAGAGGATACGATTAACATGGTAATACGAGCACAAGGCGCTAATTAGTAGCTTGAGGTAAATCTGAAGCACGCACGGGTTGGCAACGCGTCACGGTTACCTTGGCGGTAATACGGTACGGCGGATCTACTGACGTATTAATGAGGACTTAGTAGGAGCTAGATTTTTATCCATCACATGGCCATGTTTTATATTTAAGAATAAGCTCCTATTTAAGTACAGCATTTTTTATAGACCACCAATATCAGCAAACGACAACAATATACTAAAACAATACCAAAAACAAATTGAAACCAATTTAAAATCAGAGGTAAAAAGCACACAAAAGGAGGCAGTAAAATTGGAATTCAATAAAATGGATGTTGTTTGAAAAAACATCTGTTTCGCAGACAAAGAGCAACGCGTCGATTAAGTTCTTAAGTAACAATTTCTACGACAGATCGTTCCCGGAATAATTTAAAGAGGGGTAGGAATGGTCCTAGGGAGTCCTTCGTGAAGTCCAGTTAAGCTTCGTAGGCGTCGGTGGCAGCTCTTTGAGCGACATCAAACGACGTGAGATTACCAACGCATTAAACATACATGTTAGAAGAAACAAGCGGCGTTTTCTTAATGTTATTTCGTCCATAAATATTTTATCGCCTCTGTAATGGAAAATGTAAATGATGTCCGGAGACGTGTGACTTTTTTGTTCCGTTCTCCTCAGTTGATTATTTCGGATGCATTTACTCCATTGGAGTGGAAAATCTTTTATTTATTGTTCTGTGACTAATGATTCGGATAATTTTAGTCGATGCTTTTGTACTTCTTTCTTTACCACTGTATAATTATTAGTTTGAATATCATATATACAATGAAAACGACTTTATCAGAATCTTACAATCAACAGAGTAGTATTTACGTAAATAAATATACAGGTAATTGATTCCCGTTGTGTATGAATGAGCTGTCTCGTCGTCTACTGATAGCCGGTGGAAAATATCAAGAGTCGAATGCCCATTTACAATTTTCCTTATTACATAAAATTATTCAGAAGCCCGATAGGAGCAGGGGCGAAACTGAATCTTGTTGAACTAACTCAGTGCGAAATCACTTTCGCCTCGGCCTTTGATCTCGACTGCGCCAAAGGAATGTTATTCAGTAAAAACATGCAAATTCGATAAGGTATAACACAATATTATGGAGAGCGGCTGTCGGAGTGTCGCTCTCTTTACAATACTTGCCGAGCATCGGGAAATGCTTTGAATATTATTATCTGATCACAAATCTTCGGCTACTGATTAATCCTAAGTAATTTTACTGTCTACAAACGAAGCTCTTAATGTAAATTCTTATTTTTTATTTTATTATCAAATTTTAGCAGATTAGAAAACATTCCACAATCTATAAATAGGCAGATAGCTAATATTTACTTATTGCCAAAACTAACCAGACATACAATTTTAGGGACGAACAGTCGCCCAAGTAGGACAAGCTAAGTATAAGAAAATACTCTTGTGTTGAAATTATATTTTTTTAAATATTTCATCACTGAAGCTCAGCTTCTAATGGCGCTCCGAAAAATATGAAAGGATGCTCTCAATTAGGTTATACACTGTTCCTTTTAACGCAAATTGCCTTATCTCAATCTTAAATCAATGTTCTCCCTGTATATTATGATAATAACGTTTTTTTAACGCGGCACAATTTGCAAATAAGATTCGGGGGATGTTTGTAGTTAGTAATAAAGTATTTTATTTTATTTTATTTTATTTATTTGGGAAAATTAACAATTATACACTATAAAAATACATTATAACAAATATGAAAGTATAGAATAAATGTATAATCAACGACATTCTCCACAGAATACAAAAAAAAAGTAGTTAAAAGTCGTACAATTTAGGTAGGCACACTACGGTGGGCGCTAAGAATATTATCACGTAATATTCGTGAGGTTAATTTTAGAATAATGTTTTTTGGTCTATTGTTCTGTTGGTGAGCATGAGGAACTCGTTGAATGGATATAATATTACTCTGTTGTACGTCATACTTTATCTCAGACCCTAAACGCTGAATGAGTGATAACAGGTTTTCGTTACGCCGCTCAGGTATATTACAAATTTCTATATTGCAGTTGCGAGCGCTCTGCTCGATATAGTTGATTTTGTTTATTACTTCGTCAACGTCACCTCTGACACCCACTGTTTCTTGAATCTGCTGGCCAAGACTGGCAACTTTTGTTCTGAGGTCAGTATTTTCATCAGACATAAACTGAATTGATTCCTGAATAGACACCAATTGATCCGACAGAGTTTCATAGTTGA